CACACACACACACTCACACACAGACACACGACGCAAACTCTGACGGGGCGTTTCTTCTCTCTATGGCGTAGAGAAATTTTTATGCAGTATTTACACGTACACATAACTTTTATGAAGTTACGCAAGACATTGCCGTTCAAGGAGATATCACCGTCGAGCAAAAGTGTGGGTGTGTGTATACTGGTCTGTGAGGTGAGGTTAGTACATACGCTGTGCCAAAACAAGTAAAATTAGATCATAAAAAATAAATGCGAGAGTAAAACCCAACACGAATGCTGAACAGTTTACTAGTTCTTACAAAGAGCAACTCTGGAACCTCACACCACACCTACAAGAAAACGATACTCTTAGTAGTTTAAAGGAGAATCCAATCCAAAAAGTTTATACATTTCACATATCAAAGGGATTTTTGGGGGGTGATAAATGGTTAATTTAGGTAAAAGTTTATCCACCCTTTAGAGAACAAACTCCGGTACACGAAAATTCTTTTGAATGGAAAGGTATCATTTTCCCGGTGCGCATGGCGCTTCGCAGCTTCAAGAGGCATCACACTTTTGACATCTGCGGGCCCACCCCTAACCCGAGGTCGCCGCCGCCCCCGCCGGCCGGGACTAGTCCCGGATCAGCAGGGCCCGCCGGCCCGGTCCCTCCCCGCCGCCGCCCCGCCCGTAGCCGCCTATTGATTTCTCGTTGCAGAAATATGATCTAGAGGCTGTGCAAGCCGTTGTGGTTTGGAACGGCCAGTGAAAGTGGTCGCCTTGCCGGCCGCGCCTCGCCTCGCCGTGCAGAGCGGGAGCCTCCTCCCCGCGCCGGTGTGGGAGGAGGGGGTAGGGGGAGGGGAGCGGGGAGGGGTCAGGGGTCCAGTCATATCATCGTTAAGGCCCCGGCAAGGCCGCAGGCCGCGCCGCCGCGCTGCTGCCCTCACCGACCCCTCCGCCGCCGTCCCACCGGCCCCTCCATCATGCTCTTCCTTCTCCCCCGTACTCAAAATTCAATGTTGTCGTGGCGTCAATTCGAACATTTGCAACATATCACCTAAGAACGAGACCTAAGAACGATGTTTCCTTGATGACACGTGCAACTTTAGTTTCAAAGGTTGCTGAACAATTTTAGGGTTTTTGCTCGGTATATACGAGATAAGGTAAAAATTTGGAGATTGTCGAACTCAACGTACCAATGTGTAAAATGCATATTTCTAAAAAAGAGAAGAAAAGGATTTTTCCGAGAATTAAATTGAGAAGAACGAAAAGTGAACGAAAAATTATCCGCCATAGACGAAGAGGCGGGGGGGGAAGGCGCAAGGAGAGACAGCACGTAATACTCCACATAGAGCAAAATACCTACAAAAACGAGTTCGCGTAAAGCAAACAAAATTTCTGTAAGAAATTTTTTGTGCAGAGGAAATGCTTCGCAATACGACAAATATGTTCCTAATACGAAAACGTTTAGAATTCATCGTCAGACAAATATTTAGAAAGCAAAAGAATTTCGCTCGTCAGCATTTTTATGGTGCACCAACCGCCGCGCCACCGCCGTGCAGCAAAACGCATCAAGACACCCATCGCATATACCGCATTGTAAATAGCGTTCCATCCGTCAGTCTGAACGACTGACTTGACGACGGCGCGGGCTTCGACCCGGCCAGCAACGCGGGACGGCCGCGCAGTATTTGGCCGTCCCGTCCCGGACACACACACACACACTCACACGGCATGTGCAGGGCCGAACATGACGAATTTTCAAAGACGACTAATAAATCAAGTCGCTCTCAGCCTCCCCATCCAGCAGCGCAGGGCGCACTACACTGGACGTGTCATGTCGCCTGGGCACGCGAGCCCCCGCCGCTCCCGGCCACTCCCGGCCCGCGAGCAGCGCGCTTGGAGCGCTTAGAGCGCGCGGGGCAAGACCTTCCGCACGGCCCGCGCGCGGCCGCATGTCCGCCTGCGGTCACATCCCATTTATCTCACTGCGCCCCGATCGTAAAGTTGATTATTTTTCATTTTCTACATCCATTGATGATTGATGGTATATGGTTCGGCATTGTATGGTATGGAATGCGCACATGTATAATGGCCAGAGCTCGGCGGCGCGACTCCGCCCCCCTCCAAAACACCCTCCTCGCTGGTGGGTGTGGAGCGTGCGGCACAGAGATGTGCTAATGCACGCGCGGGCCCCTCCGGCAGCAGCACGGCACGGCAGCACAGCAAGTGCAGTAAGTACTCCGGCCAAGACCCGCGCCGCTTCCTCCCCGCCCGCGAGTCGAATGGGTTGCCTGCGCGGCGGGCGGGCCGCGAGCGTCTGCGAAGGAAACACGCAGGCAACATCCCGCAATCATTCCTATAAAAGAAGTGGCCAGCTACTCGCTTCGCTTCGCAAAATTTAACAAAATTGATCAGTTTTTGCAAGCTACTCCTTACATTCGTACATGTAAACACACTAAATCCTTATGCACTGTTGTTGTGCACAAAACTGGCAGAATTTCACTATGCACAATTTTATGCATATCTATGTTCGGTGTGTGCATAGTTACGCACATTTTGTACACAATTATGCGTAACAATTTGTGCATACTTATGGCTGCTGTATAAAACTCTACAAGTTTATGTACAACAAAATGCATAAGAGTTAGTGTGAAAGGTGAAAGACACATGTCCCCCGAAGGTCCTCCCTCCCCCACTCTAGTGCTGCCTGCTGCGCACCGTTACAGATGAGTGCCCAAGCTCTCGATAAGTCAAAAATTCGACTTGGAATTGCGCTATTTTATTCGAATAGTTCGTCACGAGAAGTCTCCGGACGAAATTGAGTTCGCGACCATCTCATTATTCAGACAAATTGTGCATCCAAAACCCTTTTCATCAAGGAAGAGAACGGCACGCCTGGGGGCGAAAGCAATACGGTACGCTCTACGGTAAGTCCAAGTAGTCCAACCTGCAGAACACCAAACGGTATTATACACATCGATTTTAACGAATAATTGATGCGGGGAGCTTCATAACGGA